TCGTATAATACGAAGTATATTCTTAGTAAAAATAATTTTATAATAGTACAAAGAAAAACTGCATCACAAATTTTATCATTGATATTATTTTCGTGTGAACATCTTTTCATGAAATGAAATGCATAAAATAAAATCAAATTATATTCTTTAATTAAAAGAGAATTGATCTAAATGGTAATAGCAGCAGTACTAGCATTTAAGATTATATTAAGGTAAAATATGATAGAATATATCTAGGAATCTTTCTTTACTTTTCCTGTCCAGTTCTTCATTCTTGACATACGTGGGAGTTCATATATATTTAACTGGTCCTTAATCTCTTAATCAAATTTTCTAATATTTTATTTATTTATGAGTCGATCTATCCAACAATACCCACCTCATCGTTTCAGAATATAAACTAAATGTGTCTAGTTTGGACATATAGTCATATACGTCCTATTTTTTCTTATTATTTGGTACACCAATAAACAATTTTTGTTTTTAAATTTTATTGCTCAGATCCGTAGTGGCATAGTACCAAACTTTTGGTTAGAAGGGTTCAGTCCGCATGTTCAATATTAGCATTTTTTTTTTGTCTTTATACCTATATTCTAGTTTGCATATGTATTATCAAGCTTGTGATTTGTTCCTTTTCTATTTTGTTTATTGTAAGTAATTTAAGTCTATACGTATAATTTAAGCCTATACACAGTTTTTTTTTATCTTCTTCCTCGTAGAAAAACTAGGACCATTATTTAGGCTTTTAGCGTATTAAATTACTCTGATCGGTATATTTCAAGAATAAAAACCTTCTCAAAAGACTTAATTCATATACTCCCTTGTGCATGACTAGCTACTATACGTATTATCTCTAATTACAGTGGCAATATAAGGACTATAAGGAGTATTAACTTTGATAAGAATTCTGCTATCCCATGCTACTCCGTGCCTTTTCCCCCAACACTTGGCAACATATTATGATACTAGAATTAGGCTAGTACAGCTATATGGCATATTTTTATCTTCATTGTGCTTCTAGGGAGTTCTAGCATCACTTTGTTTGATGGAAATCAGCCACATGCTACTATTTTTAATCCACATGTACTTAGACATAACCTTTTGCTACTAAATTTAATTTGAATTGCTATTTTAATGTTTATTTGTTTGTGTATGTGGTTCTTATAATGATATGTTTAATACGAAGTACTTGAATATCTATCATGGTCTTTAATTTATTTTCACATTTATTGTTTTTTTTTTCTTTCTTTCTTGTACAGCACCTTTTCTTTACTGTTATGTAGCTTTATCCCTTATACGTACAACAATATAATTTATGTACTCTACACGTTATGTTTATTAATCTTTTTATTGACGTGCTAAATACTATCGTATATTATGTTGATCACTTTATTACCAAAGAGGCCACGCACATTTTATTCTGTGCTGTTACAATTTACTTTACCTATAAACATATTTGATTAGTTCTAAAGTATTACCACGTATTTGTATCACCTGTATTTGTCACCTAGTCCAATTACTTATTTGTATAGATAACTTATTTGAAAATATAACTATGTAAATTACACTACAAACTTGTATATTAAACAGCCCGGACCGAGACATCTGGAATGCAATGCAACTCATGTAGTGAAACCATAACCCAAAGGTTAAGAACCGCTTTTAGAAAACCTGTCTCTGATACCAAAATGTAACACCCACCCCGCCCGGTCTGGCCGGTTCGGGACAGATGTCACTGTCATTTACCTTTTAATAAAAGTATATTGGTAATGCTACTTTAGAAAATGTTTTCCATATAAAAAGTAAAATTTATATAATTTTGATTCAATGGTAGTCTGAAAATAAAAGACAATTAACCAATAGATATCAACTTAAAATAAAACCCTGATTGTTACATAGCATACTTAATTTTAAAAGAGTGTTGGTAGTACCAACTTATTTAAAATATAGCAGTAAAATAAAACATGTGCAATGCAGTCCTGTCCAGATGTCTCCTTGTCCTGAGGCTCCCCTTGAATCTCTTATTCACCTACGTGTAGAAAAACTACACGCTCAGCAATGAATTGCTGAGTGGTACTATAATATAACATGTAATAACAAACATGTATCTATATTTCCTACTCAATTATACAACAAATAAACACTAGTATCATTATAGTCAATTTACATAACTAAAACATATGAATAAAGCATATTACACATTATCATCATAGAATTCAAATTAAAATTAATACTATTATTTCACATAATATAATTTATCACTTGGAAAGATGTAACATAAATCACAAGCAATTCTCAGGATTTCATATTTCAAAAATACGTATAAAAATTTCATATAATCTTTGCCCAACATTTCTTTTAATGCGGGTTCTTTCGTGACATGTCCATAATTTCACATATAAATAATCATTTAGCTGAAAACGTATATCCAATAATGGAATAATCACACATAATTCTTGCTTCAAGTTCATACACATTTTATCCAGCTTTCTGAATACTTCATCTTTATTCATTTATTTCAGCCTTTACTCTTAGGACTAGACTCTAGCTAAGAATACAAAGATCATCAGATAACAGAGGTTCGTGGGACCCTGGCCGGGGTCGTATGCTAGCACACCGTGGGAGAACGAATCGTCCAGCCAAAACTGAAACAACCCAAACTCAGCGTGGGAGAATGAATCGTCCAGCCGAAACTGAAACAACCCAAACTCAGCGTGGGAGAATGAATCGTCCAGCTAAAACTGAAACAACCCAAACTCAGCGTGGGAGAATGAATCGTCCAGCCGAAACTGAAACAACCCAAACTCAGCATTTTTAGTTTGTTCATGCAGTCATCAAAAGTTGGTGGTTCAGGTTTCAAAGGTGCTTCGGGCTTCACATGTTTTGAAGCAACTAAGCGAATCACATTCAAAAACTCTTCATCAATGGCTGAATTTGCTTGTTTGCCATTGCTTTTGAGTTTTTTGATTGCTTATGGCTTGAACATTGACCTGTTGACGTAGACATAGTATGCGCACCTTGAAACTCCACTTCTTCTTCAACCACAATTGGACCATCAGATGAAGTATGTCCATGTGGCATAGGTTCGACTGAAGTTGGTCCCCAACTCTCAACGCCCGTTGCAACAGACCCATCAAATAGTTGTGCACAAAGTTCCGGGAATGGAAACGATGTAGTCCTCAAAGTTTCAATGTACTTATTTTTCTGTGTTAAAAAAAAATGTAAAGTATAGCTGTATAGGAAAGAAATTAACAACAAAATAAATAGAGGCGCCCTTTAGGCAAAAATTACCTTAATTTCAATCTCCCATTCCTCGGGCGTAAGATTAAATGTGTTGGTGGACGGATCATACGCATTGCCTGTTTTATTTTTGAGCAGTAACCAGGCTCCATATTTTCCTTTAAGATCATCGTAATGATTTTTCATTTGCTTTCGATCAACAGAAAACTTATGAGTCCCATTCAAAACGTCAGCAACTTTCTTCCAAGAAAGTGCTTTCAGACTACTACCTTCCCGCCCGTTTACGGAAATCTCATGGATACAGGTCTCAAGACATGTTTTCACCACGTTCATATTTTTCCAACTTATCCTACATTTTTTTGCTTTTCTGATTCACCGGCGTGTTCCATACCTAAAGAATGAAATACGTGTGTCCCAATGATTCATAGAGTGCTAATAGATGGTTAACATATCCGATAAACAAGTGCAAAAAAATCAGTCTACTTACGTAATAAAAATCTGCCTACATATTGCATACAAAATAACACAAAAAAAACTTCACAAGCTGTCAAAAAATGGAGTTATCATCTTCTATGTATTAAACTTTTTGTTACTTCTTTTTGAAGACCAAACATAAATAAAATTAACCTTATACGAATTAGCTGTTAAGCTAATGAATTCAAAGTAATCATTTAAAAAAAATCAGAGTTTAATCTCAATTCACATAGTATGAAACAAAACAGCAGCTCAGAAGAGGTAAAGAGCCCAAAAGAGAAACATCCTATGGTAAGCTTAAAGCAAAAACAATGGAATACTAAATTTACCAAATGTCATGGGTTTTAACACTATAATAGTTTACCAAAATAGTTTCATGACTATCGTATTACGGCATCAGATTTGCAACAGACCCAAACAAAAAAAATCAGATTCTAAGTTAAATTGATTCCACGTATCTCAATTCACATCTCCGTTCAAATTCTAATTTTAACACTATAGCAATTACATAGCAATTACATGGAATACTATATCTTAATTCACATCTATGTTCAAATTCTAATTCTAATCTTAATTCACGTATCTTGATTTCACATCACTTAATTCACATCTATCTTAATTTTAACAGAGTTTGAGTTATTTCATCCCAAAAACAGAGTTTGAGTTATAAAATCCCTAATATCAAACCATCCAACATCAAACATGAAATTTAACAATATGGCATATGAAATTCAATTACAAAAGATTGACCTAAATACAAAAATGTAGTGAATTTACTCCAAAAATTCGAAACTTACAGAACAAGTAGAGAAAAGTATGATAGAGAACAAGGAAGAACTCTAATTAGGAGAAATTGAAAACAAAACAGAGAGAAAATACTAAAGAGAAAAATTCAAGGAAATACCGATATGGAGAAGGTGAGGGATGAGAGCCGGAGATGGAGATGAAATCTGCACGTTGCTGCGACCGGCGATGGACTGTGCGCAGCTCTTCAATTGGCGGCCGTAGCACAGGTTAGCGAAGAAGAGGGTTAGCGAAGGGAATGCGGGTTAAAAAAGAGAGAGGCGATACATATTAATGTCTGAATCGTAAGGAGTCTTGAATTTCCGCTGAACTATTAAGTCAAAAATGGTCTGCGCGAATAAGTCATGTTTCAAAATAAGTCCCAAGTAAACAAGAGTGTATGGCTGACCGAATAAGTCATTGTTTACATTCAGACCATTAAGTCGAAAGTAAACAGCCCCTAACTATAACAGCTAAACATAATACAAAGCTATTATACTAGTCGTGAATATAGTATTTCTAATATGATTCAGTCCATAAATTTCAGTTTAAACTTAGTGCAGCCCTTTCTCCAATCAATTGGACTTGGTGTACATACTTTTACACATCTGTGTAGGCATTTTTTGTCTGTACGGACAAAAAAAGCCTTCACAAATATGTGTAAAAGTATTTTTGTTTAGAAAATTCAGCTTATTTGGGGCTGAAATCCGCCACCGAACGTAGCCAACATCTATAGCTTATCACCAATACGCATATATGTTGACAAGGAGAAATATACAAGTGATAAATGAAGTAGATAAATGGGAGTGTATATGCTAGAAGCATCAAAGTGAGCCTTAATCATCATCATCAACATTATTCAAGCTATTACTAAGCACTGCAACCACTGCTTTACTCCCACGTCATCTTTAATATGAAGAATGCCATGAAAATCTCGCCTCTTCTCAGAAAAACAGGGGGGGGGGGGGGTTGAGATCTTGAAACTACAGAGTGGGCTTATATAGCTGCTCCACCACCTTTCTATACTCTGCAGATGAAGCAAATGTCCTATGTTCAGATACTAAACAGTAAAGATCAGAATTCAGAAGTATTTTCTGATGTTTTCCAATTAATTACTCCGCATTAAATAATTATTGATTGTAAACAATTACACAAATGGTTATCTGCTTTACCTTCTCCATTGCCCCATAGCGCTGCCGCTTGAGAGTTTAGAGGTGAGCTCGTGTTTGGTTCTGATTCACGACAAAATGGAAACAAGAGTTTATTCAAACCATAAGCCATTAAGCCCCAAAGTGGATAACAGGTATTCGCTCTTGATAGGACAGCTAAGAGCTTAAGAATGATCCAACCACCGCCCTATCTAGATTTCATACTTGAGATTCAGATAATTTCTTAAAGTGTATACTACCTTTATCCCACCAAAGATTGTTGACTGTCTTTTGCAAATGAAATAAGAAATATGTAAGTTAGTTCAAACAATTGATTTCATAAGCAGTTCCCATTTTTACCCTTTGTATAGTTCCCCTGTTCAGGGAAGCCAGGAATAGTATTCAGTTGTGATCCAAGTAGGATAAATCTGGAAATGTAAAGTAAATTCATATCCAAATAGACTAACTGGACCATCATTGTGAGACGAACTAAAATGGAATAGGGGACTATATCCTTGTGAAATTTGGGATTCGTGGTACAAGAAGTGTGAAAGATTTACCTCCAAGCAAACTCTGGATTGAAAGTAGTACAGTCCTAACATCATATGCAGAAGACCATTTGTCCTACAAAATTACATTTTGTCATACTACTGCATCTTACAGGTATGATTATGAATTGATATAAAAGAAGAGTTGAAAAACCTGAAGAATGTCCAAGCATATGTTCCCTTGACCATCGACATTGGGATGAAAACATGCAGTCACAAACTTAACAGTGGGGGGCTTAAATGGATACTCATTAGGGAAGGCCAAAGTGAGTTTGTATTCCGTTCCTTCGAAAACCGTATCTTTGCTACCTGTGATTGTCCCTGTCCAGCAGTATATGTTGTCTTCTTCCGGGAATGCTGATATTCCACTGTCACCACTCATCTTGAAAGAGTGTGATAAGTGCAAGTCATTTTCAAAGTAAGCCAAAAGCACACGGACAAGGTAACACCGTAACCGGCTGAATGTATCGAAATTTATGAAGTTTTGGCTGAAACGACTGAATTTACTGAATTATAAAAAAATTATATCTAAAATATCTTTTATTAAGAAAATAAGAAAAAATTAAAGTGAAAAATCACTAAAATAGTCATACACAGTAATTTCGGTCAATTCATCTAAAAAATAACTTTAACCTTTTTTGTTTTGATTATTATATGATTCCGCGCGTAAAATTCAAAATTATGTGCTAGGGAAAAAGTTGAGCAATAAGCAGAAAAACAGGATCACCACATGGACCCTTCTTAGTTTGGGTTTCTATTTTTTGGTTTCTAAACAAGGTTTATAAGTTTATTGTGTTTTCTGATTGGTTTGATTATAATCACTTTTGGACTCGTTCTGATTAATATGGTTTGGGAAAAAACATTGCGAACTTAAACTGAAATACATATAGATTCTACACAAACGCAGGGAATATAGATCAAAGCTCCAAGAAAAACCAGAGATTCTCACCATTAGAGACATCAGTTCAGACTGCAACCTGTTGATAAATAAAAGTATTCCATTCAGATCTAAATTAAAAAATCATTTTCACTCAAATCTATGTACAGAAGCGGTTATGATTTTATGACAAGTCCAAAAGACCTATGAACCCCAATTATTTCATCCAAATCTGCAAATAGTTTGTGTAGAGAAAATTTATTTGGACAAACTAGCTATTCATGGAATTAAGCATTCACAAAGAATTTCTACAAAAAACTAGAGATCGTTTGTATATACCCATCGTGAGATTTGAATCAATTGCGAATCTGAAACTAAACAAAAACTAATTAGATCCGATTCAATAAGATCAAAGGAGATAACTGACCTTTTGAGGACCGAGTGAGCATCGATGGTCTTAGCTGGTTGCGGCGGCCTCTTCGGTGACGGCACAACCGGAAGACTGTTGGGGTTGGTATTCGCCGCCGCAGCCATTGATCCAAGTTGTTGATGGAGCTGTCTCTTCCGGTGAATAATCAGAGAGATAGAAAGAGAAAATGGACTTCTCCGGTAAAGAGAAATACAATGAGGTTTATCTGACGATTTGGGGATTCCAGGATCGGTTAAGTTATTAAAAAGTTGGGGGTTGATTGATATATTCAACACTTAAAAAAATCTTTTACACGGCAACGGCTAGTTCTACAATCATTCAAAATAAACAATCATGTATTTTATTTACGAAAAATCAATTAAACTTTGGAAAAATTCACATTAATAATCCCAACTATTCAAAAATCCCATCAGCAAGTTACACTAAAATTTGGACTATTTTTTGTATGAGACAATTTCACGTCACATTTTTTTCCTTTTCCACTTTCTTTGTATTAATGATTGTATTAAATTGGTGACATTTGCAATGCATGGTGGTCAAGTATTTATCATATGTAGCTGAGACAAATGGTAGTTTAATGGGCATTTTTCGATTAATGTATTGATATATATGTATTGTATCATAATGTTCACACAACTAATGACTGAATAAGGTGTTTTATATTTAAATTTAAGAATATAATCAAATAAAATCAATGTCACACATCAAATTTTGTTTATTCAAGTTAAGATGGTGCTGATTTTTCCAGAAGTCATAACTTTTTACTCGTAATGAGTTATGAGACTCATAATACATCAAATCGAAGGTATTTCAGATCTCTACATTCTTGAACTTTCAGCCGGATCGCCTGACCACCCTGACCACCCCTTGGCTCCGCCCCTGCCTATCTGGCCATCTTCCTCATAAGCCATACTCTGTTTTTTTTTTCAATCTTTCCAGGTCAACCAAACACTTGATTTTTTATGTTATTATCACTTTTAGCTATTCCTTCCCTGTCCTACTGATTTATCATATGGATATAATTAGCTTTTTTGAATATTAAATTGTATGATTGGAAAATTACAACACCAGAATCCCTAATTTTAAAGGTGAAGAACCTCTAAATTTAAAGGAGCGAAATTCTTTAGTCCCAATACGAAAAAGTATGACACCAGTTCCCGAAAGTAAAATTGAAGCCACAATGTATACATCTATGTGTGTGTACGCACATATATAATGCTTGATCCTTGAACTGTTTCTTGAGGCTCCCCTCCTGCCTCCTGGACAAGCAAAAATAATACTACGTAGGTGAAGTCCTAAGCTTAACCAATTAAAGTACACAGTACCATGCTTGTCACGGCCGTAAGTCGAGTCATGGCGCCAACTGACCGCCATATCGCTTAGGCGACAAGGCGCCCGCTTAAGCGACAAGGTGCCCGTCTAGGCGACAATTAGGCGAGTAGTCTCCTATATGTGTATATTATATTATATTATATTATATTATATTATATTATATTATATTATATTATATATTATATACGATAGTATATAATTATATATTTACATATATAATTATACATTTAATTATATATTATGTATAATATATTACTAACTAAAATGTATATAACCTAGAATTGAAATCCACAATTAATAATTAAAAACAAGGTTTATTAATGGGAATTAAGATTAAAAATGTATATCACATATTCACAGGATTTTAATATCACAAAATAATTTAATCATACAACAATTAAGGTTATTTTAATATCATAAAACAGTGTTTTATATCACAGATTCACAGAATAAAAATATTTAAGAAAATAAAATATCATAGCATAAAAAACTAATCAAACAAAAAGTGCAGTATATCATAGAACTCTTATATTAAATACATAAAAATATCACTAAATTATCACAGGTTAAAACACAAAAAACAAAGTCAAAAGTCAAAACAACAAAATTATAAATGCACAACTTAAAATTGAAATAATAAAAAACTTAAGTAATAAGAGATCGAGAACCTGGGAATAGCAAAGTCGTGTACTCTACTTCCGCGAAGCACCAAGAGAGGGCGACTCTGCGACTTCATCTTCTTCGTAAGCTTCCTGCGATGCTACAACTTCGGCAATTAGGCGTCCGCAGGGAGTCCGTAAGGTAGAAGAGCATGGGCTTTGGTTTTAATTAAAATTCTGAAGCCTTAATTAAATTATTAGATTAGCTTCCTAAAAAACGAATCAAATTAGCTTCCTAAAAAAATTAAGGCCTAAATCTTTTTTACTTTGTATCTGGGTTGAGGGAGTTCTGACCCAGTTTGTTGCCTGGTTTTCTTCTAGCGAGGCGAGTGAACCCGACGACCTTCCCCCAACCAACGCTTGGACGCCTAGTCGGCGACGCCGTGATAACCATGCACAGTACAAAATGCACCGTTTGTTTAAAATGGGAAAAATATGTTGAAAGAGGTAGGAAGAATTGAAGTTACATGGAGGCAAGTCAGTGACGGGGATGGGCTATATGCCGAAGGAGAAGAATAGGGTAAGCAAAGAGGTGATGTAGGAATATCAAACAAACCGTTATATCCGTTTCATTTAATTTGTTTATGTGAAACTTTTTATAAGTTTGAATTATTTGAATCAATATCTTGGGTAGGGATTATTAGTGTAGAACCGCTAAAAGTAGATTATTGGTATGAATTTTAAGCATGTTATTCACAATCATAGTGTTCTATTTCATCCTTAAAATCATATCTGGCTAAACTAAAAAAGGATTTGATTCTTTTCCACAAACCCGTAAGCGAAAACACATAACCATTCAAGTACAAAAGAGTGCATCACATACACAATCTCTATATACTCCCATGCATCCTAAATCATATCATTCTATTATGAGTTTTTATATATAATATATGTATGTATCCCACCTACTAAACTAAACAAACAAGCTTTCATCATAGTCCATTAGTCCTACACACACTCCAATTACTCTGATCATAAGAAAAGATAAAATTATGAGAAGCCAGGAATGATTTGCCGCCATCTACACTTCCAAAGCTATGTTAAAGCGCCGGACTCCCACCCGAAGACTCAGTGGAACGCACACTGTGATAATTTGATTCCCGAGAGCAACTTAGAGTCCTTCCATAGCCACCATTTGTGTTGAACTGAAGCTTGGGTGCTTCTTGACCTGATGATGGAGAAAAGGAGCAGGGGGGTAGAGGTGCACCAGAACCCTTTTGATTTGACACATCAGATGAATCAGACTTCTTTACGAATCTACCCCCGGAACCCCTAGCCCTCCTAAGAGCATGTTGATGTCTAGATTCATGCAGATATGGCTGCATTTGAATAACATATTTACAAAGGAATTAAGACCAACAAAAATACATTAAATTTTTTGTCCCAAAGACTAGCAGTGTATTTAAATTTTGTTCCTCAATGATAAATTTTCCTACAAAATGCATTGTTATCAATTCCAAGCAACTTCAAGTCCTGCAATGAATGATTTTTCTCGTGTTCTGAAGAAAAGTGACAAGGAAATCCAGTCATGCACCAAAAGCAAAAAAATAAATGTTGGAGACCAAAAATGAAGATTATGTAATAGTCCTCAAACAAAGGCAGAACATATTCTTAATATTACTCCAGCAGTCCAGCCCAAAATTAAAGTACAACAACATCCGAGCCTTAATCCCAAAAGAATTTGGGATCGGCTCCAAAATTAAAGTTTCATTTTAAAATTAAGGTCTCATTTTTGGAAACTTCTTCAGTGTATTATTACCGTTTTACCCCATTATCAATAATCCTTTTACCATATTGGGGTGTTTTAAAATGAAGATTTCATTCCATTTTTAGAAACTTTTTTGTGTACACATTATTGATACTCTGTATCACCTACCTATCTATCCAAAACAAGCCTATCCCTATAACCTACCCTCCTAATACATATCCCCCTCTCTCTGCCACTATCTAACCATAATATATACAGTCAGCATTTTAGCTCTGAAACAGAGTTGCAGTCACTGCAGTGTAAACGGACAATTTCAACAACGGAAAAACCAAAAAGTCATGGTCAGAGAGGAAAATAGAAGGCTAAAGCTACTTGACACCTTTATTAATCTCTGTGCCCAAAACGTATGGAATGGAGGGGGTAATTGATTGAACAGCTATAGATAAAGAAAAACAATACATCATCATCGTCATCATTACCCAAGTGCCGCAAAGGCTCCCACCTACGGTAGGGTAAGGGGGGATCGGATCTACGCAGTCTTACCCATGTACTAAAGCACAAAGAGACTGTTTCCGGATGACCCATGGTAAAAATCACGTCGAAAATTGCATGGGCTAACTGCTGGTTCATAACAAAGAAGCACAAACAGTTTAGTGAACCATTTTGTCTTATTCCATCATATTCCCAACCCAAAAAATAGTGAATCTTTGGCTCCATTGCAAATGATGAAAAATAACGAAAAACAATACAGAAGTATATTATTCACTGAAGCTAAGAGCTTATTTGGTTGGATAAAAACTTGCTTTATCTGTTGAAAGTAAAAGGACCATGTATCTTTATTTCATTCGTTTTGGTCAAAAAGTAACTCCACTGCTTTTTTTATCATGTAGCGAACTAAATAAGTCTTTTGTAGAAATCTGACGGTTAAGGCTAATAAGCCTCAAACAAGGGCATAGTCATGTTAAAGGGTCTGCATATAACCATAACATATGCAGTCAAAATTTTAACTCTGAAACAGTGTTATGTAGCACAGTGTAAAGGAACTATTTCAACAATGAAAAAACCAAAAAAACGTGGTCGGAGGGAAAAAAATAGAAGGCTAAAGTTGAAACTTAACGCCCTTAATTAATATTTGTGCCCAAAAAGTATGGAACGGAGGGGGTAATTGATTGAACAGCTATAGGCAAAGAAAAACAATACAGAAGTGTATTAGTCACTGAAACTAATAGCTTATTTGGTTGGATAAAAACTTGCTGAATTTGTTGAAAGTAGAAGCACCATTTTGATATCTCTGTGCACTATGAAGTAGAATGGATATCATTTGTGTTGGCCATTTTATTTACTGTTTGGATCTCATGCAATCATTTTGAAGTGGAGAAACTTTATAGACTTAAAAAAAAGGTAGAAGCACCATTTATCTTCATTTCACTGCTGTATTGGTCAAAAAGTAACTCATACACTGCTTTTTTAGAATAAGATGTTTGTCTAGGTTAAGATGTCTGTCCAGATTTAGTGATACTTGTATATGAGGCT